GTAAATATATTAACGACATTTTTAAACATGCATCTTGCATGCGCACGTATCCATACTTTATTTATCGTTAACGAGTTCGTTGATTCTTTGTTATTACTTATTAACGATCCTCGAGACCGTTCATAATTTTGTATTGCTGTCTGTCTGTCCGTTTGTCGCCCGTATGCACGATAACTTTGTGTAGAAACGTCCGATAATTTTGAAAATGGGTACACATATTCATAAGGATATAAGAAAGGTCGCCATTGTTTTTCAGCTGAGTAGACTAACGGAATAAAAAGTTACAGCCCAAAAACTGCACACACCTGAAAAGAAGGTTTTTTATGTTTGTTGTTTGCACATATGAAAATCCGGTTTTTTGTTTTAGTAATATTCCTTAAACCTCAAGAAACTGCGCAGATGCATAAAAAATTTGCCCCAACTTTTGTATCTGCGCAATCTAATTTTTTTATTTGTTAAGATGGGAAAATGAAATTTTGTATGTAAGCACCTCGAATAGAAAAATAAAACTAATGCCGAATCAAGAAAATTGTATTACGTTCCTGTTCCTCTTTGTATAATCCGCTTATATTTTTAGCGCATTTTCCAAGGAAGGTGGGTGCGCTATTGTAGCCACTTTCTCTGTCCGTCGTCCGTCTGTCCGACCGAGGCCTCTATTCCCACAGTTTTCAAAATATAAATTTTAACCATATTAGTTCGTTCTTTTTGCATTTGGTAGCTTATAGCTCTGTCACCTCAAGGAAAATAGGAATCTAACCCAGTTTCAAATCTAGGTTGCGCAGTGCGCAGTTCACTTTCTATTTAGAAAAGCATTGAATTCTTCTTTAAAACTGAAATTGAAGTAGCACGTCAAATGATTGCACATGTGCACGCTACCTTTCAATTTTTTGGCGGATTTTACGGATTTCCCTTTCATTGGGATCTGATGAAAGTCAAGGAAAAAGTTAAATTACAGATTTTCTTCGAGACTGCTTTCGTTTTATCTTTCAAGACACTCGATCTAATTAAAATTACCGACGAAGGAACTCTATTTTCTACAAACCGCCTTTCTTCCTCGCGCCTTATCAAAATGGAGACTTGGGGGAAGGAGGGGCTGGTCCTTCATGGTACATGGTAGAAATATAATAATCTATTGCTGAGGTCAAAACGTTAAGAACGAATATTTCGCATGTTGACCAATCGTGTTTCTGAAATCTGTCAATTAAACTATACCGAAGTTTAAACTGACGTTGTACAACCGGACCTTATAGACGTTTGCACCGACAAATTTAAGTGGAGTGTAGCTTAAAATTCATGGCAACGATTGTTTTTTGAGCGTGAACGAATATCGTAACTTTGTGCACATATACCACCACATACCTATACGAAATCATAAACATTTCCAATGTTAAAATTAGTTGTCTAGTTGTACAAATAACTAAAAATTTAAAACTTTTGGTGTTGTTTATTTTATTTATTTGGTGTCAAGGCGATTGTATAAAAAATTCATTATCAATAACATTGACTTTGGTCTTTGAAACTTGAAACTTGAATATAAAATTTATATTCAAAGCTTTGGTAAAGTCAATATCAATCAAATAGGTTCGCATTAAAGCAAACGCTCAATTTTGTAAAATAATTTACTGACCATAGCTGTTAGTTTGGTGAAGTAATCAGTTCTCGACGGGACATATGCAATTTTCACGCTGCGTTTTAGGAGAAAAAATAGTTCGCGTTTCAGCACAATTAAATTGTTGACCCAAAACGACGGGGACCGAAATGAGCGCCGGGACCGAATCGGTTTGATCCGAAACTTCATGGCCATTTGGTTCATTGGGTTTTAACAAAATTGTTATTGGTAGGTACTTATTCCTCTTTCAGCAACACTCATTTTATCAATTAACCGCACATCTCTATAATCATATGTATTATACTGTGGTATAATTTATTATTCGTCATAGATCATAGATAAAAGCACCTTTTATTTATGATTACCCGTTGAATGTATTAATCGCAACCCAATATAATTTTATGATGAAGAAAAGGAAATAACTAAACCAATATAGACAACGAGCGACAAGGTCTCTTCCGGTTAACGAGTATTGATCAAAATTTAATCACTTAGTCGCTTGACCACTGTCTACCTACTTATTACTGAAAACAGAATTGGAAAATTCGAAATCGTTCGGGAGTTATCATGTAGGTACACAGACGGACTGACAGACGGACAGAAATCATGAATTCGCTTATAGGAGCTCTTTTAATAATAAAGAACTCCCTATATATTTTATTGCCATAATGACCTTTAATGGAACGTAAACGTGTACTAAAATGAGTGGAACGAAGAATTAAATGGAATTGATATTCTATCTATAAAAATAAATGATAACTGTAGCATGCACCTGGCGTGGTATTACAGTAAGCCAGTGTAATATAGATATTACTCTGTTGAAGTTAAACACATTTCATATGGCTAACTGTACTGGGTTCAGCGACATCTACTGAAGGGAAGATTCAATTACAATTGGTAACACCGAATGTTGTATCATGGACGCACACCACTTTACAAATATACCGACTCGTGAGACATCTAGCAATCACAAATATGAACTAACCAAAATTCAAACGCGTTGTTTTACTATTGTGTTATATTATGCTGTTACTAATGCAGGCAAAGAGGGAGTGCAAGGTCCCATGATATAAACACCAAGGTCCAAAAGGAGACAAGGGAGAAAAAGGTGAGCGAGAAACTCCTACTATTAGAATTGTTCCAAGCATCATAGGTGAGTCCCTACTTCAGTTTTTAGTAGTGCGGTAATATTTCTCACATACAGTAGGCTGCGAGCAGTTGAGCATTGGCAAATTGGGTTTCGTTCAAACTCTGAATGAAACTTGGACTACAATTATGATTGATTCCAATCCACTCACTGAAAGTGACGGCCAGAAATTTTGGGGAACAATGCGCGACATTCCTAAGTTATTTGAGTTCAATGATTTGGAGTCTTTGGCTAAAAATAATCCATCCGTGTACGTATCTATAATATTACACTATATCCGCATAATCCACCTCTGTAAATGAATTAGGATTTACGATTTCACAATCCCGTTTGAAGGAAACTCGCATGTAGTTTACCTAGGATCCTTCTTTTACAATTCCAAGGGCCGCACGGAAGAAATAATAAAATATGACTTCAGGGTGCAGAAAACTGAAAGTCTTATCGTACCAGGAATCGCAAATGCGGAAAATAAATTATACTTATCCGGCTATAGCAAGTTTGACTTTAGTGTTGATGAGTATGGACTATGGATACTATTCCCTAATCCAGAATCCGATAGTACCTCAATTATCAAAGCAAGTACCCAGAAATTTTATTTCTCCAAGGTTAATTTTCGTTTCTTTTTGTTAGATCAATACCGAAGATATGACAATTGATCGTACCTGGGATGTTCGCATGAAAGATGATGAATTCATTTACATATTCATTGCGTCAGGAATATTGTATACAATGCACTACACACCATCGCTTCAAGTTGAGATTAATCTCGCAATAAACCTGGTTACTGGTACAGTTAAGACAGTAAATATATTTGGAATTCGTAACATTGGAGAAATTACAATGGCTACCTACGATCACAGAGGAGAGGTGAATAGTTTACGAAATACCTCACATATTTACTACTATGTGTTTGTTTCAGAGGATACTTCTTTTGGAGCGTGGTAGAATGCTAGTATACTCTTCCTTATGTGACGATAGTGTATTATCTACACAGTTAGTTTTCCCATTAATTAATTGACTCTTATCGTATGGGCGATACTGACGTCAATCCTCGTTTGTGATCTCCTGGTATTTCAAGGTTATTCCTGTTAGCTACCATGGCATGTTAATGGATTTCACAAGTTGGAGTAAAGTGTTCATTTTCAGTAAATAAAATAATATTGTATGTATAGATCGAGGCTAAAATAAAGTTTACTGGGACGTCTACTATCGTTTTTTGAGACTAGACTATAATATGATGTTCCATAATTATGCTATTGAGTAGTACTTCCCAAAAGGTCATGTAACGTTCTATTTATTTATTTATTTGTTTGCCAGACACCAAACTGAATGCAAGAATCCCAATTACACGGAACTGGGATGCTGTACCTAAGCTAAAACTACATAGAAATTACGATCTAATCTGACTAATTCATTCATTCAATGAGCCGTATGTATGTGTACAGTACAAATGAATATAAGTTATGGCATAAATTTCCTTATAAATATAAAGCTTAACATTAAGTACACCTGGTGTCTAAATATGCGATATGCTTGCCTTTGATTAGAAGAATCTTTGGTTAAAATTTCAAAAAAATATCTCCATGCATAAGAAAGATGACATTGCGCATTTTGATTTTCTTGGTTGAGGTGTCAGAAATATACCTAAGCTACCGTTGGGCAAAAAGAACGAACTGAAAACTGTAGGAGATAGTTAAGGCCTCGAACGGACGGATGGGCCGATCAAGTGGCCAGAACAACGCCTTCCAACGTGAGTTGGAAAATGCGCTAAAAAGTGGAGATACGCCTAGGTTTTCACAGAAAGTTGTTTGGAAAAATTCTTTCTTTTCGTTCACCATTCGTTTAAACCTACTACATAAAAATCGCAGCATTATACGTGGTCTCAACTTAAATCCTCTGAAGGAGGGAATTCACACAACTATCTTTTGTCCTCAGATATTAAATGAAAATCCCAATATCTAAATTTGCTTTACTTACGGGATATTAATAGACTACAAACATAAGAAAATTCTAAGAGCGCCAAGCATTTATAAGGTGTGAAGCAAAATATTAGACTACAGTTAGAAGCTCGAAAGGTCTATATAAGATAAATAATCCTCACACCTTGTTAAATGAGTAATCTGGACCACGGAAGCGGGAAGCAAACTTTAATCTGTTAACACTTATCTTATGGGAATATAATTTTCCAGTTTCGTCATTCTTGTTACGATTTATTATAATCTGTCATTTATAACCTCTGATCGGGTAGCATGTGCATTAGTACGCTTTTGAAATCGGGACAAGTAAAATGAGTGCAAAGCGAGTACTCACCTACGCATGTCTGTCAATACTTTGTTTAACCGTGGTGTTGTTATTAGAAGTGGGCCTAGGTTTGTACTTATATAAAACCATACAGAAAGATTTCGAGGAGATATTTGTGAAGGAATTACGAAAAGGTGTTTGTAAAGAAGAATTTAAACAACTACTGGAGGACGGCAATTCTCTCAATAAATACATACGCGATACAATAATTAATTACACCCACAGTGATGTAAGTCTCGATTGTGTTTGGTCTGTAATTTTAGATGAATTATCTAGTTGTGCAAGCAGTGCGATCAACTGAAGTTAACAAGAAATCGCAGGCATACTGAAGGCCATAATCACGGATCTTGGGGGCATAATCATGGATCATGGGGGCATAATCATGGATCTTGGGGACATCACCGCCATCACCATCACGATGGTAAGTAAGAAATAATACAAACATATCACACAGATAATATTTTTTAAAGGATTTCATCATAATCACGAGCAAACTGAAACGCCTGGACTACTCGGACCACCCGGACCACCCGGACCGCCTGGACAACCTGGGTTTCAGGGCCAGAAAGGAGAACAAGGACCGTGGGGTCTTAACGGTATTAAAGGAGAACAAGGATTACAGGGACAAGTGGGGCAAAAGGGGGAAACTGGGGCTCGTGGACCCAGAGGTGAAAATGGCGTAACGGGACTAGCAGGCGCACCCGGTTTGCCAGGGAAGGAAGGCCCCGCAGGTACCTTTTGAGCCGGTAGAACTCAACGTAACGCATTGTAATCTAGGGAAAGATGGAAGAGACGGAAATTTCGGCCAACCAGGACAGAAAGGTGAACAAGGAGTGTGGGGTCCTTCCGGTCCCAAAGGAGAGCCAGGATTACAGGGACAAGTGGGGCAAAAGGGGGAAACTGGGCCTAGAGGTGAAATTGGTGCAACGGGACTAGCAGGCGCACCTGGTTTGCCGGGGAGGGAAGGCCCTGCAGGTATCTTTTGATCCGGTAGAATTGAACGTAAAACATTGTAATGTAGGAAAAGATGGAAGAGACGGAAATTCAGGCCAACCAGGACAGAAGGGTGAGATAGGTGTGATTGGCGTACCGGGTGAGCGAGGGGTAACCGGTCCTCCTGGAAATAGTGGCATTCCTGGCATACCAGGTAAGAACAGTATGCAATATTCTGAGTCACTGTTCATTTTTATAATTAGGATTACCTGGTCCAGTAGGTCCGCCTGGTATGTAAATCCTGTAGGTAATAACTTTTGTTAAGCTTACTGTAATGCAGGCCAAGAGGGGGTGCAAGGTCCAAAAGGAGACAAGGGAGAAAAAGGTGAGCGAGAAACTCCAACCATTAGAATTGTTCCAAGAATTTCAGGTGAGTCCGTATTTTATTTTTTGATGGTGCGATCATAATTCTCACATACATTGTAGGTTGCGAGCAGTTGAGTATTGGTAAATTGGATTTCTTTCAAACTTTGAATGAAACTTGGACTTCCATTATGATTGATTCCAATCCACTCACTGAAAGTGATGGTCAGAAATTTTGGGGAACAATGCGCGACATACCTAAGTTATTTGAGTTCAATAGTTTGGAGTCTTTGGCTAAAAATGATCCATCCGTGTACGTATCTTTAATATTACATATATAAATAATAATACACCTCTTTAAATGAATAGGATTTACGATCTTACAATCCCGTTTGAAGGAAACTCGCATGTAGTTTACCAAGGATCTTTCTTTTACAATTCCAAAGACCGCATGGAAGAAATAATAAAATATGACTTCAGTTCGCAGAAAACTGAAAGTCTTATAGTACCAGGGATCTCAAGTACAGAAAAGAAAATGTACTTATCCGGCTATAGCAGGTTTGACTTTAGTGTTGATGAGTATGGACTGTGGATAGTATTCCCTAATCCAGAATCCGATAGTACCTCAATTATCAAAGCAAGTACCCAGAAAACATATTTCTCCAAGGTTAATTTTCGTTTCTTTTCCTTAGATCAATACCGAAGATATGACAATTGAACGTACATGGGATGTTGGTATGAAAAATGAGGAATTTATTGACATGTTCGTTGCGTCAGGAATATTGTACACAATGCACTACACACCATCGCTTCAAGTTGAGATTAATCTCGCAATAAACTTGTTTACTAGTACAGTTAAGACAGTAAATATATTTGGAATTCGTAACACTGGGGAAATTACAATGGCTACCTACGATCACAGAGGAGAGGTGAATAGTTTACGAAATACCTCACATAATTTACTACTATGTGTTTGTTTCAGAGGATACTTCTTGTGGAACCTGGTAGAATGCTAGTTTACTCTACCGTATGTGACGATAATATATTATCTACAAAGTTAGTTTTCCCAGAGTAATTGACTATGTTCGCATGGGTGAGATTCCTGTTAGCTACTATCGCGTGTTAATGGTCATCACAAGTTGGAGTAAATTCATTTTCAGTAAATAAAATAATATTGTATATATGGATCGAGGCTAAAATAAAGTTTACTGGAACGTCTACTATTGATTTTTGAAATACTAGTCTATAACATGATGTTTGATAATTACACTGGAAAATGTTAATGGTAACATGAAAAACGACACAAATTAATTTAATTAAATTAATTGCCACTATTGTATTATACAGAGTGTTATTGTTATTTGATAAAATTTTTAGATTATGTATTCCGAGTTTCCTCGATGGTATTAAATATTGACAATAAATTGTGATTAGTACAGATAATCATCTAAAAAAAGCATTACACTTTGTTTATACCAGGCAGGTTTAAAATGTTATACAACGAAAGCTCTGTATTTTACCCGTATAGTACCTACTGAGACGTCTCTGATCATAGATTACATGGAAACATGATTTTCGTCTCCTCTCTTATCCATTTCTAAAGTATTACCATAGTGTGTTACATGATAGTATTACCTACTAACCCCTGCGGTCCATCTCCAGTATTTTCACTCGATCACTGAGGATACTGACAAGTGTACTACCAAGAGTAGGTACATATGCACTCTGCTGAATGCCTATATTCACATATAAGTGCAAGAAAAGTGGATTAAAACAGCATGTTACTAATTTAAGACCAATCATTGATTATACACAATCATTTAAAAACAAATTATTAATACTCCCAACTATTTCTATCGGTTTGTCAATCAACTGCGCTGCAATTTTTAAATGTCGGTACTCTTTCATGTTTGTCATATATTTACAAATAAGTTGTTGATCCCAAATTCTTATATCGTGGATTCTTTACATAAACATTCACTTTATTTATTTTTTGCTGACCGGCTTCTCGGAATAAATGCCCATTGTTTGCTATGCTATACAATTGTAATATTTGTTCGGAAGGCAACCCCCCCCCCCCCAGACCCCGGCGCTCACTGATCTCGAAAAAGAGTCGCACGGGAAAGTTATAGTTTGTACTAACCAATTTATTTCGATAAGACCTTTCATTAGAATACCATGAAGGATAGAACATGTGTTTACCCCACCCTCCGCCCCCCATTTTGTAAAGTTTAACTTGGTACCACTAAAGGCATGCGTATGCAAAATCTGAGACCAATTGGTTGTATGTAAAAGTTATGCACGTTTTACTTTGAAAAACAGCATCTTAGGAAATAATTCGTGGGGGGGGGGGGGGAGTCCCTTTTGGACAGCGAAATTTGTTGGCCGACTGGCACACCTTCAAGGTATAGGCTGCCTACTGCAAAAAATTCCAGGTCTCTAGGACCATTCCCCTAGAATTAGTTCGAAACGGCAGAAGTAGGTCCGCACGGACGGGCAAAACGCAAACAATAGCACATTTTTTTAATTCTTAAATAATGCGCTAAAAATCCCCTTTTCAGTTACATGCACGTAATATTTTCAAAATTAAAAAATCCCCTCTTCAGTTACATGCAATGTAATATTTTTATGTGCATGTAACTGAAAAGGGGATTTTTTGAATTAGCCAAAGTACATCTCATCTGAATGTCTTTAAGGGAATCTCCCATTTAATGCCAGAAACTTTGTTGACTAATAGAAGATTACAAGTGGCCGTAATATCTTAAGGGATCTTTGAAATTAATATGGCCCGACATGTGTAAATCGAGTCGCCTTCCGTTCCTTCCAGGTTGAAAGGGTTTCCCTGCTGGATTAATACGTAATCAACAATTTGTCGGTGCAAACGGCCGTTAGTGGGAGAGATTGTAAACAAAATCCATTTGCCGTAGCCCAAGTTTACTATAGACAACCATACATATGCCGCTATAGTACGATACAATGCAACAACCCGAAGGGTCCGTTAACTTGGCCCCCCCCCCACTGGGAGATTTGATTCTTTTAAAATGAATGCGCTCGTTATGCGCTCATATGCGCCACCGATAATAACTCTTGCGCCATTATCGTTTTTTAAAAATCCGAAAAAACATTTGGGGGGGCCAAGTGAACGTAGCCCCCCTCCCTAATACGTACGTTGTCGCTTGTAACTAGGTCAACTGATACATTTGGTTATGCGCTCAATTGCGCCACTTGAATTAAAGCTAGCGCCATTACGGTTAAGCCGTGGCAAATTTTCAAAAAGCAACTTAACGTTTTTAAAAGTTACTTCTTTTTAACATCTTTTCATACGAAATTGTACTCTCAGGTATGCGCTGAAATGCGCCGTAAAAAGATATCTTTGCGCCATTCTTGTTTTTTGGTTATCCTTAAATATATTTGGGAGGGGCCAAGTGAACGGAACCCCCCATAACGCATTTTGCTACCGGTATTTGTGCCACTCGATACACCTGGTTATGCGCTCAATTGCGCCACTTGAATTAAAGCTAGCGCCATTACGGTTAAGCCATAAAAAAATTTAATAAGTGGGGGGGGGGGCTAACTTAACGTTTTCAAAAGTTACGTTTTTTAACGTGTTTTTCTACTACATTGTACCTTTCATCATGCTCTAAAATGCGCCGTAAACAAAAGTCTTTTCAGAAACACTATACAGGATGTTTTTTTAGGAGCTTTAGTTAAACGTTTCTGGGAAAGTAAAATAGGTAGGATTTTAAAAATTTGTACTTAGAAGTTACTCCGAAAGCCGAATCGAATCGATGTAAAATATTTTCAAAATAGACGCACTTCCGGAAATACCGGAGGTGGCTAGTAACTTCGTTATTTTAACTAGCAACCCCTATTTTTTATTACATTTTTGGATTCTATGTGAAATTTCAGTTCTTTTGATATCAATGTCGGTATCTACCATTTATGGTTTTTAAGTTATTTTGGCGGATGCAGGTGGTACTTTGATAATTGATTACTTGAAAACGATCGTAGTCATAGCAACCCATTTTTATAAGTGCATAGCCAAGTTAACGGACCCCAACCCGAATACGGTATCGCGTATTTGCCAGTGCCAACGTCACTCGTCCGAATTTTATTTAAATACACCAGCGCGCTTGAAATTCTTTTAATAAATACAATAAATACCTCTAACCTCCCTCCCTTTCACTAACTTCTGCTCTTTTAAAAGAGTATTTACTTTGATTACTCCGCAATTCTAGCAGCAAAGTCTATACTCTAAAGCCAGTAACGCTCGATACCTTTATTTTTTCCAGTAACGTCGCGATCTAATTTTGGTAACCGAACTCTGAGCGGACGACCTACACTCTATTGCGACTGTTTACTGTCTCCCCATTCCTTACTTTAACTTTCCTATTTATGTTGCCGAGTAGAAAATCCATTAGTGCCCCAACACAAACCAGTGTCAATAGACTTAAGAAAAAGATAACGTTACTAGCAAACAACCAATCAGAAGCAGTGTGTTTGAAATGTCTTTACAATATTGACAATGGAAATAATCTCTATACATTAAATGATATGGGTTCACTTATGAGAATAGGTTGATAGTAGGAGCTATCGTACGTGAGCTACTGAAAAGGACTTTACGGTGATCGTTTAATTAGCACGATTATCCCGTCGACAACGTTTGAACAAATATTTTAATACATGAACCGAAGTGTGCCACTGTGCTTAATAAATGAACTTTTTTAATAAATTGTGATTATTGTTTAGTGATTCATGAAATTGATCCACCGATGCTTTTAAATTTCATTTTCCATGTAAGAGATGACTACATAAAAATGCTGCTCGTCAAATGTTAGCTCCAATATGGTTGTGGTAATTGAAAATTTCCTTTCGCGCCAGTTACAACGAACGAAATCGATCTGAGATGATTTATGGACTGATTATCATTTTTTTTCGTTAATATGGGTGATCCATGACCTCTCATTAATAGCCGCGTCTTAATCTTAATGCTTCGTTTGATTACAAAAGCGGTACCGATGATTGAATTTGAACCTATCAAATAAATTCATAAATTGGTAGGTACACTCTTAGAAGGGGTATATTGTTACGTATCTTAAAGAAAGAACCGCCTCCCTTTTTTATGTTTTATTGTAATTTTGACTAATTGCATTAAAATGGAAAGACAATAAGACGTGGTTTTTAGAGTTATGGATAATAATTGGCCAACATCAACTGCTATTTTGAGTCATCTAAAAAATAAAAACAAAAGAATTGCGATAGATGAAAACTTTTTAAGAAACTTGATTTTTGAATCGATTTCCACCAATTAAAATTTAAATATAATGGTTGAAAGGTATTGAATAGTAGTTTCGGTAGGATGCTTAGCACTCAAAATAAAATTTCATCATATACATCAGCTGGATATTGCTTGCCATTTTAAGAGAGACGTCATGAAACTAAAAAAAATGCAAAATTGCTCGCTACTATTAAAACAGCTCATCACGACATGCAATTATTAATGATTATTTATTTATAATGTTCGCCAGGAGAGAATGCCGATCACAGAACACCTGATGCCGGTCTACAATTGTATGTTTTTCATAGATTGTAGACCGGTGCTTTATGACCGGCATTCTCTCCTGGCGAGCATAATATTTTAGATGTGGTATCATTTCAAAAAAATTAAGTTAGATCCATTGGTAGGAAGTTAGGAAAACATGTATGCAATAACACTATAACACGCTTATATAGTCGTTTTCAAACCATTATATTTAAACTCTTTTTGGTGGCAATCGCTTCAGAAATAGAGATATAGAGTGTATACGCATTTTTGAGAAACTGCGATAAGCAGTCAGTCCATCGGTTAGGAAATTTCATAGTTACTTTGATATTTGTAATGGATTTTTATATGAGTTGCAGCTTGCTTAAAATTAGATTTCCGCACGACACAACTTTATTGCTATTTAACTGCAAATGGTTTATTCTAGCAAATTAAGTGTTAAATTGCAGTACAAAACGCCACGAAATCCATAGATCACATTTCTTTGAAGAGCCATGCAAGAGTATCTTCTACTATTCACGATTTTTAAATATTCATTGGTCCAAATAAATTTTTAATGTCGGTAATACAAGATTTAAAAATGAGCGTAGTTCAACCAGTTAGATTAATATGGTTTTCAGTATTTTTTGTTATCACAATGCTTTCGTTAGAAATTTTGATAGGTTTCTTTATCTACAATCGTGTACAAAGTGATATTGAAAAGAAGCTACTGAATGAGATACGGGAAGACATTTGCAAAAGGGAACTCGAACAAATACTCCTCGATAGAGAAAACTGGACACGAATGTGTGACACTGAAGGATTTACTGATGTAAGTAGCTATACGTATACCTTACAACATACAGTCTATGATATAAACCGATCTCATTTCAGCAAGCCAAAAGTAGGAGCCGAAGATTTATATTCTTTCCCAGAAAGAAAAAGAAACCGACAACACCATCTCCTTGTTCACAGTCGCAGGAACCGAATGGACGTCCTGGTAAACGAGATCACGAACCATCTGGGACACCTGGACCACCTGGGCCACCTGGGTTACCCGGACCACCAGGACCTGTCGGGCCTGGTAATAAAACCCCTGGGCCTCCTGGACCTCCTGGACAGCCTGGACAACCAGGACAAGCTGGACGTCCAGGCGAACCTGGGCCACCAGGTCTACCTGGACTACCTGGATACTCAGGGCCGTCCTTAAATGGTCAGGATACGTACAAAATTCCTGGACAACCAGGACTACCGGGACAGCCTGGGCGGCCTGGTGAACCTGGGCCACCTGGTCCGCCTGGAGCACCTGGATACGCGAGACCTTCCGGAAATAGTGATGACATGTACAAACCTGGACCACCTGGACAGCCTGGTCAACCTGGACCACCTGGTCCGCCGGGATTACCTGGATACACGGGATCTGGTGGAAACGGTAATGACATGTACAAACCTGGACCGCCTGGGCAACCAGGACGGCCTGGCGAACCTGGACCCCCTGGACCTGCCGGGCGAACACAACACGGAGAACCTGGACCGCCCGGTGCGCCTGGACCACCAGGAAATAAAGGAGAACCGGGACGCGCACAACAAATTACTGGACCACCTGGTCCGCCTGGTCCACCTGGACGACCAGGGCAGCCAGGATATGCAGAGAGACCCGGAAACGTCCCACCAAGTTATGGACAACCTGGTCCACCTGGACAACCAGGACCGCCTGGGCCACCTGGGCAACAGGGCAGACCTGGTTTCCTAGGACAAGCGGGAGCACCAGGCAAATAAATTTTCAGTTGTTACAAAGAAATTACTGTGCAATTTTTATAGGGTTACCAGGTCCGAGAGGAAATCCGGGTGATAAAGGCGTGGTAGGTCCCCCTGGACCGCCGGGACCGCCAGGTCGCAATGGATATGGCGGTGCACCAGGTGACAATGACGGTTGCTTTTATTTATTGTATTCTTCATCCACGATACAGGTGCACCCGGAGGAAAAGGTGAAGACGGAATACCGGGAAGGCCGGGAGATGGCGGCATTCCAGGCACACGAGGTAAAATTTAACGTTAATTCTGAACTAATAACTGTGCATTAAAGGTAAAGACGGACAACCTGGTCAAAAAGGTGAACCAGGGAGTCCGGGCAAAAACGGATATCCCGGCGTGCGAGGTAAAATGAAAACTTTCAGCTTATGAAGCAATAATTTTTTCTGAGCAGGTCCTCCTGGTCCACCTGGGCCCAGAACTTCGAGCGGAAGTGGCACGAAAGGTGATAAAGGGGACCCAGGTCAAATGGGGTATAGAGGAGAGCCAGGCCAAAGAGGATTTCCAGGTGTCGCAGGTAACGCCTCTGCAGTGTCCTTTTGCAAAATACTCCACCATCTCTCTATAGGGAAACCGGGAGATAAAGGGGCGCGTGGGCCACCTGGATATCCAGGATCACCTAATGGGCGAGTTGACCAAGCCGCAAGCCCTAAAGACACGGATACTTCTGTAGCCGCTAAACCGCAGCACTCGCATTCGCACGATACTTGTGATATGAAGAGCATGAAACCTCCGATCATTGCAAACAGACGAAGCAGAAAAGGCACAAAATTCAGACTGGAAGGATCAGGTATGGTAGCATTTCATGAGGCTATTCTCATATTTATAACCACAAAGCTTGCAATACGTACGGAGTTGGAGGACGACGCTCGTTTGGAACTGCTAATGCAACTTATACCTCCTTTATGGTCGATCCCACAACGACCGTAGACCAAGGCTCCTGCAAATTTTGGGCAACCACAAGTGACAATAGGAAATTATTAGAATTTAAAGATTCAATTGCGTTAAGCTTCAATCTTCCTTCCAGGTACCGTTCCTCACTTTTACCATCTCGCATTGATGATTTTTCAGAATTTACAACCTTGAGATTCCGTTTGATGGCAATTCCCATGTGATATATGCCGGGTACTTCTTCTACAAAATGAGCGGGCAAATACCGAAGATAATTAAATATAACTTGGAAAGTGGGAAGTCAACTTCAGTTTTAATACCTGGTTTTGCGAGTTGTACAATGCAGCCTTTGTATCTGAGTGGTATTAACTATATTGATCTCAGCATCGACCAAAATGGCCTGTGGGCTATCTTCTCTCATTTGCGTGAAGAGTCTACAGAGATTGCGAAGGTAATTTCAGTTAACTCCCAAATATGAATGAACCTTGAAATTTTTTAGATTAATCACGTGGATATGACCATCATCTACACTTGGGAAATTAATATTAGTAACAAGCACTTTATCGATATGTTCATTGCTTCTGGAATTGTGTTTACCGTCGATTATTCACCAACCTTCCAGGTCCAAATTAGTTGGGCAATCAACTTGATACTTAGCAATGTTACGAAAGTCAATATAATGGGAATTGACCAGACTGGGGATATAAGTGCTATTGCATACGATCATAAATATGAGGTGTAGTACTGTCATCCATCTAAGTAGCTACGTCAAACTAAGTAAGTCCTTGTTTTTGCAGGAGCTTTTGATTGTCGATGGCAAGGAGAGGTTGGTTTATCCGTTTTATTGCGGCGAGAGGAAAGGTGGCGCTCTTTACCGGCCACGTTTACGGTAGATTTGAATCAACTGGCGAACGTGGAAGATGTCGTGTCAGAAAAACTCGTCTTTAGTAGTTTTACTAGTTTATGATATTGTACAATATCCTAATATTAGTACCTATACTACAAATAAAATACGAACTTATAAGATTATTAAGAAAAGCATTTGCCCCATACCCCTCCGGTCTAACGCGAAGAGGGGCCACAGAGATAAATAATATTCACAAGTAGGCCTCCAGTAAAAAAAGGTGAAGAAACACTGCTTATTCGATTTCACCTCTCTAAAAAACACAATAAGAAAATAAATAGGAAACGGTACATTCACGTCCGACGTCCCGTTCACCCGCAATTCGCGTGTTTAGTTTTGACTCCACCATCAGGAAGATCTTGTCGAGGGCAACCACATTCCCTTTATCGGTACCCACTTCCAACGTCTTGTTCACTCGCAATTCGCATTTTGATAGATTTCGCTAAAAACCCTTCCTAAAATGGTACTTAATTTGAAGTGTGAAGTCGGATGTGGTATTACGACTAACCCTCATTTTTCGGTATACTACGAACGCATGGAACCAATCTAAGCCCAATCTTGGGCCCACTGATAGCTGCAGTAAACTTTTAACAACTTCCCTAAACCGGCACAAATTTCCCTGGAATACTCCAATTTATGTTCATGGCATAATAAAACGACAATATAAAGTAAAATGCAAAAGAGGCAAACAAAAGGGTATAACTAATTCCTAGACTAATTCTTTGAGCTAAATTTAATACAATTTACGTTAGCTGCTCGCACATTTGCGCGAAACTCCAAATACAAATAAAGTAAACAAATATAGAAAACGACCTCCTGGGCATGGCTATAGCATGTGCAAAACCAAATTTTAAACCTGATGTTAGTTTTACTTTTATTTAAAGTGTATATGTACGAAATTTCATTTAATTGCTTCCATAAATAAGAAACTACTACACATCCTACACAAAACCAAATTTGGAAAATGGCGCTACATCTGCATTTATTACAAGTGGCTAGGTATGTATCAAATTTCATTTATGTCTTACTAACCTATCATAGCACATTTTATATCTGTGATACGCGGGCATAAAGTACCACTTTATGCCCTAGGGCATTAAGTATCACCATAGTAACTCATTTATATCTACTTAATGACAAAACGAACAAATATTTGCAGGTCATTGAAAATTAGAAACGTCAATTATTAATTGTAAATACTTACTAAATCACAAGATTGGCCTTATTTCGTATAGTTTCTGGAACTTGTTGCTCATTCACGATGAATTGAATTATTTAAAATTACGTTTGACGTTGGATGGTTTCAATCACATTAACAAATTCGAACCACGCATACTCGATCAAACATAATGAATTATTTTGTAAACGAATTTTGACGAAGAAAACTATTTGTAAAACATAAAATTGTGTATGTACCACGGGCATAACCTGATGTTTATATTCTCGGGCGACTAAAAAGCTCTCGGGCCATAGGCCCTCGAGTTTTTTAACTCGTCGCCCTCGAGAATATAAACATCACTATTATGCCCTTAATACATAAATAACTATTAAACACCTTCATAAATAAAAAGGTTTGCAATTCGGTTTATAAATGGTCGAGATGCGAAATGTGAATGTCGATCGATTAGGCTCAATTTTTGGAATTGCATTTTATATGGCTAAAGCTATACGTATATTGAATTTCATGCAATTCTGTTCATAAATCACGGAGATGTCAAAAGGGCCTGCCTTATTTTTTGGGCTACATTGCCAATTCACGAACTCCGATCTACAAATTTGACAAAGAATCTACCTACAAAATTTTATCGTAATCCGCCCATTCGTTACCGAGATATCGTGCTAACGGACGGACAGACGGAAAGACGGACAGACACCGCAAAATTATAAACTCGCTAGGAGCTCGTCAATAATTGGCATTAGTCTGACGCACAATTTCCGCGGATTAATTTTAATTAATAATAATTAAAGTGTTTGTTTACAATGAACGTATACGTAAATATTTCATAAACCATAACTCGTACATATTCGTATCGTTTCCGTAAATTTTCTTCGCTGTGTACAATACACCAAAGATCATACTACATAGTGCTACATAGTAGTATAATCTTTGACCGTACGTAACTTTGAAACATTTTCAACTTTTGCGACTATGCGCAAGACTTGCATATCGCTTACGTATACGTACGTAAAAATTACGTTCATTATAAACACCTTCGTATATATGTTTCTATACAGTTCAACTTTACGAAATTTTTAAGTTTTATGTATATCTTACGTATACGTTCATTGTAAACAAGCACTAGACTTTTCATGTTCATAATCGACGTGCTCTAAATTGTAATTGACACCCCTGCAAAATTTATGAATATCAAAATCTACGTCCAAATTATTATCCCAAGCTGCAGCTTGCATTAAATTAGTTTTCCGCACCATACAACTTTACTACAAATAACATTCCTTAACAAATCAGGTATTAATTAAGGTACTAAATAGCTATGTACACATCAAAACTATTTTAAGAAATTTAAGACTCTGTTCACACTAATTACATTTTTGGATTCATTCATTTTCTTAAAGATCTTTCCTTGTATTAATAACTCTTTTAAAATGAGTACAACTCAGCCAATTAAGTCAATGTTGTACTCAGTTTGCTTTGTTGTCACAGTGTTTTCGTTAGAAATCTTGATAGGTTTTATGATTTACAAAAACCTTAAAAGTGAATTTGAGAACAAACTAATGATCGGGTTACGGGAAGATATTTGCAAAAAGGACCCAGGGAAAGTACTTATCGACAAAGAGAACTGGACACGGATGTGTAATACTGTTAAATTTAAGGCTGTAATTATCTATAAACAAGAATTAAAGCCATCTATAATAAAACCTTTCGTTATTTCAGAGTCCGAAAAACAGAAGCCGAAGATGCCTCTTCTTCCCCAAATATTCTAGCTACGGTTGGAAACCATCGTCAGTTTCGTATAGTTGGCCATCGTCGCAAGGATCGTCTGGATCTCCTGGGCGGCCTGGACAACCTGGACGTCCTGGGCAGCCAGGACAAGCAGGCATTCCTGGCCGGCCTGGATCCTCCCATGCGATACCTGGACCACCAGGCCCACAAGGACCACCTGGATTTCCTGGCCCTTCGGGACCACCCGGGAATTCTAACAAATTTCCTGGGCCTCCTGGATCACCTGGACGCCCTGGTGCACCCGGGCCACCTGGTCAACCTGGATTACCTGCCGAAAATAATCATCACATGAATCAACCAGGACCACCAGGGGAACCTGGGCGACCTGGTGCACCTGGCCCCCCTGGGGTGCCTGGATATTCTCCACCAGACACCAAAGTTGCTGGACCGCCTGGACAACCAGGGCGGCCTGGTGAACCTGGGCCCCCTGGCCTGCCTGGGGTCCCTGGATTTTCGAAACCTAGAGATGATCATGGCACGTACAGCCGTCCTGGGCCTCCTGGGCAACCGGGACAACCTGGGCGGCCTGGAGAACCAGGGCGGCCTGGTGAACCAGGACCACCTGGAGCACCTGGACATTCGCCACCTGCCGGAAACGCTCATGACATGTACACAGTACCTGGACCGCCTGGGCAACCTGGACGGCCTGGTGAACCTGGGCGACCGGGCCCACCTGGAGCGCCTGGACATTCGCCACCTGCTGGAAACGTTCATGACATGCACACAGTACCTGGACCGCCTGGGCAACCTGGACGGCCTGGTGAACCTGGGCGACCTGGCCCACCAGGGGCACCTGGATATTTGCCGCCTGCCGGAAACGCACATGGGATGTACACAGTCCCTGGACCGCCTGGGCCACCAGGGCGGCCAGGTGAGCCTGGGCGACCTGGCATACCTGGGGCACCTGGGTATTTGCCACCTGCCGGAAATGGTTATGACATCTACAAAGCTCCTGGACCGCCGGGGCAATCAGGACAGCCTGGCTCACCGGGGTCCCCTGGACATTCGGGGCCTGCCGGAGATTATCATGGCCTACACATGCTTCCTGGGCCCCCTGGACCACCAGGACAACCTGGTCGACCTGGTGAACCTGGACCGCCCGGACCTCCAAGTCGCTCGGAAAGACCTCCACACGATCCACCTGGAAGACCCGGTCCACAGGGACCTCCCGGTCGGGAAGGGCCCCCGGGTCGACCTGGACCACCAGGGCATAAAGGAGAACCTAGACAAACACAGCGAATTTCTGGACCGCCAGGTCCTCCTGGGCCACCCGGGCCGCCAGGGTTACCTGGACACGCGCTACAACCCGGCAGTGCTCAACCTGGCCCACCTGGACACCCAGGACCACCGGGACAGTTAGGAAGACCTGGTAAATAAAAATTCACCCATGACGAAGAAATTGCTTTGTATGCCAATTATTACAGGGTTACCAGGACCCAAAGGAAACCCGGGCGAAAAGGGAGCGGTAGGTTACCCTGGTCCCCCGGGTTCGCCAGGTAGTGATGGATATGTTGGTCCACCAGGTGACAACGACAGCTCATTTTGTTAACTTATATTGTTTCGCATGATGTAGGTGAGCAAGGCACCCCCGGAGAAAAGGGTCAGGATGGATTAACGGGAAAACCAGGCGATAAGGGATCCCCGGGCGCGCGAGGTAAATCTTAACCTTTTGATTGTAAAATGTTAACTGAATTTTAAAGGGGAAGACGGATTGCCTGGCCAAAAAGGTGATCAAGGATATCCAGGCACTCCAGGCAGGGATGGAAATCCAGGCGTTCGCGGTATGTACAAACACTTGAGGTTTACGATGCAGTGCTTTCTACTTAACAGGACCCGTTGGCCCGCCGGGAGCTCCGGGATCGAAAGGTGCGAATGGGAGTGGCTTAAAAGGCGAGAAAGGTGAATCTGGACCAATGGGAGAACAAGGACAAAGAGGATATCCAGGTGGAACAGAGCTGTTGCAATACATTTTTTAAAAGGTGCTCTATAGGAAAACCGGGAGAAAAGGGAGAATCTGGACCCAAAAGGCCGCCCGGAGATCCAGGTTCACATGGTACGCCTGGAGTGACGGATTCTTCAACTGCAGTAACCGGTAACTCAGCGGATCCACATTCGCACGGTAGTTGCGAATTAGAAAGCATGCGATCCCCAATCATTGCTACAAAACGAAGTGAGAAAATGACAACATTCATATTAAAAGAGCCAGGTATAGTAGCACTTCACATGTAGATTTTCATATTCATCACATACTTCAAAGCTTCCACATATTACGGAATTGGAGAAAAGCGCTCTCTTGGAACTGCTAATGTAACTTACACCTCCTTTATGGTCGATCCTGCAGCAGACGGGGATCGGGACTCTTGCAAATTTTGGGCAACCACAAGTGACAGTATGAAATTATTAGAATTCAAAAACGCAGTTGCGTTGAGCGTAAATATCCCTTCGAGGTATGGAGATCACCACAATTCCCAAATTACATTAATAATTTTTCAGAATTTACGACCTCGAGATTCCGTTTGGCGGTAATTCACATGTGGTGTACGATGGGTATTTCTTTTACAAAATGAGCGGACAGGTACCTAAGATAATTAAGTATGACCTGTACACTGGACGATCAACCTCCTTATTAATACCTGGATGTAAAATGCAGCCTTTATATTTGTGCGGTTTTAACCATATTGATCTGAGCCTCGACCAGAATGGGTTGTGGGCTATTTTCGCTCAGTCGAACGCAGATTCTACTGAGATTGCGAAGGCACTATTATCTAATTATCCCTGAAATGAACTTTTGAAAACAATTTTTTTAGATTAATTACGAGGATATGAGCATCATCCACACGTGGGAAATTGGTATAAGCAACAAGTACTTTATCGACATGTTCGTTGCTTCTGGGATTGTGTATACCGTCAATTATTCGCCAACTTTCGAGATACAAATAAGTTGGGCGATGAACTTGTTAAATAGCAATGTTACGAAGGTCAATATAATGGGAATTGAACAGACGGGAGATATCTCTGCGATTACATACGATCACAAGTATGAGGTATAGTGATGCCTTTAATTTAAATAAGTGAAAGTGACCACGTGTACTATTGCCTTTTTCAGATGCTTTTAATTATTGATGGCAAAGAGAGGATGCTTTATCGCTTTTATAGTCATAGCGATTCACCTGAATGGTAGGTTTTGTGTATCGAAGGACGGTGGTAGATGTCACGAAATTCTTGGAAAACAATTAGATGGGTTTAATTACTGTATTGGAACCTAATGTTTACCTACTACAAATAAAATACCAAAAGTATTTTTATGGAAAGCCATGTCCTAAGCCATATCCTTCTATTCCTACCTGCTATTATAAGTACTTCCTTCTTTTAGCTTCCTAGCTTGAGCTAGGCGGCTATATGCGATCACCGTTTTTTGGACATGTTAAAATTTCATCAAATGTCGACGTTTTAGATCATTTTAAACAACTTTTAAAAATTTTTTCCGTCTATATGTATGTGCGTTACGTTAGCAATTTTCCGAAGTAACGGCTCGACGGATTTTGTTCAAATTTTGGATATGTATATTAGACATCTGAAATGAAAAATAACGAACCGGATAATTTGAAAAAAAATTTTGGAGTGTCGCAACGGCATCGAACTTTTTTTTTAAATAGTAACCTAAAATTTTTTTAAGCTATTCGAAAGACCTTATTTTTCTGTGTGCAACCTATAAAAATTGTGCCAGGTTTTATTACAAAAAACTGAAAAAAATGTCAAAGTTAAAAAACTAAAATATTTAACACTAAATTAATTCTAATTAGGAATTACAGTTATTACTAATAAAATCTAAAATCAATAAACAAACATGAGCAAAATAAAAAAAAAAGAGATATAATGGCACGCGGTCACCCATCCGCTAGATTGCTAAATTTCGGTGATCGGACGAGAACTGGTGTTTTCAAAGTGCTATGCCTGTTGTCGAAAAAGTTACTCTTCTAAGGGAAACAATGTAGACTCTTTTTTTTTTAAAAAAAGAGCACACAAAAAAAGAATTAAAAATAACTTATTATCGCGATCTAATTAGAATTATTAATTTAAGAGGTAAACTTTGTTTGATTTTCCAAGTATACCTAACAATAGAATTGAATAAACGATAGTTTTGATGCAAGCATTTTTGCATAGAATATATTGTCATTTCTTTTGGACTACCAGTTCCGGGAAAGTGTAGGGCCACTTAATTTTTTCAAATAGAAACCTTGAATATTCTTATCCTACATCGGAAAATAATAAACTTTCGTGCGAAGCGTTTTTGTCTAAACTTATTATTTTTTGAAGACACTCTTCTAAAAGCGCTATTTTCGGATTGAGCCAAGAAGCTGTTCTGTCAAGAATTTGGCAACTGGTTAGTTTGTGCTTCTTGGGTTTCCTGAATCGATATTAGTAGGTACCTAATTGTAAAACTAATCCAACCAAGGCTTTTCTTTCCTAGTTTCTACGATACGTTTACCTAAAAACCAACCTCTATTACGAATATTCAAACTATATAATATTGCGACAACCGGCTATGAGAATTCATGAACTTCCCCAAGGGTTAGAAATGACAGTACCGACATCAAAGGACTTTCCGTTGCAGACTAATTGTATTCGAACGATCTCTTCTAACTCAGATTTGTTATATCGCCTTACGATTTTGAGTATACTTCATATATCTTGATTATATGAAGACTTTGCTTGCGCAAAAATTGAATTAATTCTTGCACTACGACAGCATTTCGAGTCTTGCGACGTTTTAACAATGTTTAAATTGAATGGGTTTAATAAAAGTTATTATTATTATTCTAAATTTTGATAGTAACCCACGCACACTAGGCATTTTTATCGATAATTGCAAAAACCTATTGAAATTTTATGATCCAGTAAACGAAACTTTAAATAATTTTATGTTAATAGCAATAATAAGTAAATTAAAAGGTAGAGCTTTGAGTTTCATAATGTTCTAGAATAGAATTTTACACAAGGGGGCCGCGCCCCCTCTAAGAATGAGTAAATAAATTACTCAAAAGCGACTAACACATCTTCTACTGCATGTGCATGCAGAAATTACAAAAAGTGTAGAAGTAGAGGATATATTGAAAGAATTTACTAGCAAAACTGCGGAAAGGCAGGGAATTGTTGGTTATATTTAATTTTTTATACTTGCTTTTCTTTACAATGCTCAATAGTGCAATAAATAGCAACAAAAATTTTGTAACGTACAGTATAATTAATGAGTTGGGAGCAAAATTGTCGTCTAACCTGGGCAATGATATAAATTTCCACCTGACGCCTTAAAATAGCACAGCTTAAGAGCATTTTATCAATATTTTATATGGAAAAGCAGTTTGACTCCCATCTTAAATACCTCTAATTGTAAAGAATATGGGTGGAACTTAAATTTGAGGGGTATAATTAAACCCCTTCTGACAACCAGATACCCGGACTTGCATAAAATATAACTGCCATTTGTTTTAGTTCGTCTAAAACAGGTTGTTATTTATTATATTTTTTATTTGCAGATCCAAAAATGTCTACAAAGCAATTAGTCCAAGAGCCCAGTAGGAAAGTATACCTTGAACGCCCGGACGATTCTAATAATTTTCATAGGATTCACCATAAAAAGTTGCATTAGAATCGACAACGGTGCCGGCGAAAATCCTGCCGAAAGCAGTTAAAAAAAATTAAATTCGCCCCTTACTTTTGGAAAATCTACTTTATTGTCCCGGACGTTCAGGAAGAGTACTAAAGGGTGCATATGGATGAGTTTTATCGGAAAAAGTCACGGTGCCGGGGCGCAACTTGCCGCAACCCTTGGCACCGCCACTACAAATGGGGTGGTAAATCGTACTAAACTACCTTTTTCTCCCGGACCAAAATGACCTATATGAAATATGTAGCTTGCGATTATACGAATATAAAAAACCAACGGTGCCGACTCTCAGGATGCCGGACGTCCTCGGCACCGTCGATGGAATCCGGGCGCGCGCGAGCCTATTGACACTGCGCCAATAAAAGATGGGGTAAATTGTAACAATCCAGCTTGTCATTTCGCACCAAAAAGTCCTTAATGAAAAATGTAGCTTAAGAGTAGACAGAAATTATAAGAAATCCGGGGGCGCGCAAAAGCCTTCTTTTCGTATCCGATCACTTCTGTGACTGCAAGAAAAACGATTTAAGTCCATTTTCTCAAACTTTACCACTTTTTTGTTAAAAAAAACAAAAAAAGACCCGACAAAATCGCTTTTAATTCTTAAACATTAACTTTTTGAAAAGTAAAAACCTTGACTTGTGTGGTTATGCCTAAAAGCAACCCAAAAAAGGTAGAAATGATCGAAGTTGACTCGCAATGATTCTTATGCCAAAAATGCTTTTTTGAAATCATTTTATTGTAATCAGAATCAGAATCGACGCTCAAAGGAGTAGGATCGCCCTCGAACCAAAAGGGTTCTAAAATATCTTTCATTTACCAGCCTCATTTCGTAGGATCGAGCGTGACACATTGTTTTTCTGCCGCATTTTTCCATATAGCAGTAACAAAAATCGTTCGGAGAATCTTTTGTTTTAATGATTTGAAACAAGGCGAAATCGTACACGAATCAAATCCTCTGATTTTCTTGAAGAGTTTCTCAGAATATTTTCTCGTCGCGAAAATTTTGTGGAATATATTTGATCTCGCGGTATCCACGGTGTTACATTTTTTCACCGAATACATAGGTAAGTGACGTGCATTCTTGCAATTTTTCAATTTTCACACTGTCAATAGTCTCGCGCGCGCTCGGATTCCATCGACGGTGCCGAGGACTTCCGGCATCCTGAGAGTCGGCACCGTTGGTTTTTTATATTCGTATAATCGCAAGCTACATATTTCATATAGGTCATTTTGGTCCGGGAGAAAAAGGTAGTTTAGTACGATTTACCACCCCATTTGTAGTGGCGGTGCCAAGGGTTGCGGCAAGTTGCGCCCCGGCACCGTGACTTTTTCCGATAAAACTCATCCATATGAACCCTTTAGTACCTACTCTTCCTGAACGTCCGGGACAATAAAGTAGATTTTCCAAAAGTAAGGGGCGAATTTAATTTTTTTTTAACTGCTTTCGGCAGGATTTTCGCCGGCACCGTTGTCGATTCTAATGCAACTTTTTATGGCGAATCCTATGAAAATTATTAGAATCGTCCGGGCGTTCAAGGTATACTTTCCTACTGGGCTCTTGGACTAAATAACAATAATTATTTTTTGGATGTAAAACGTGGCGGTGTTCCTGGCAAAAAAATTAAGTGGCATGCGTGCTCAATTTTATAATTGTAGTAGAAAAGTGTCTGTTAATAAATACACTTCACATGACACACAAAAAGATGAGCATAGCACAGCGGTGAAGACCTCTATAAGTTATTACATTGATTACTTATTGAGAAAAATCAAAATTAATCATTTTCAGAAGATTCAGTTCGAGCATGAACAAGAAGATGCTTGAAGGAAGGGACTCATCGAATCGGTTGAAAAGCGACCACCGATACTACGTGCAACGTCATACATTTTTTCGCCTTGTGCCTTTAATTATAAAGACTATACCCCTAGCTGAATTCATTAAGTTACCAGCTATAATTTTCATTTAAACTTTTTTTTAAAATTCTGATTCGTCTAAGAGCAATGGTCTTATAAACGATATTTTAAATAGTTACATTTTGCGTTCTTGCGGTATATGCGATATAAAATGCGCGAACGTCAAACAAAACGCACCGTTGTAAAGAGAATTAAAAATAGGAACTTTTTGAACAATTCCATTTTTTCCTATTTTGGGCCGTTTAAACATCGGTATCAACAGACGAATTTAGGGGTTAATTAGTAGTCCAAACTCTACAGAAAAACATAATTAGATGCTTTTTACCTTTAAAAGCTTGACGGGATGGATTTCTAAATCACTTTTGAGCGCGCGGGAACTCTACTATAAACGAATTCGAACAACGGTACAGCACCATCGAAAAAGAGCTACTTGCCATTTTTTGAGCATGTAAATATTAGCGAAATTATTAATAACAAATAAGTAAACCAAATTTTAGTATTTCCAAATGATCACTTTAAACTTGATGTTTAACTATCAAATTACGAAAACCATAAGATAATAACAATTCTAAATTCTCGCCTAAGAACAACTATCAATTTATTTCAGATTTTTTGAAAGAATACACTGTCAGAAAAAAAACTTATTGCATGTACTTCCATACAGACCAATTGTACGAAGATTTTAGCATTTGGATATTCAATGATTTTAGTAAAGTATTTAT